CCCCAAAACCCCAAAACCCCAAAACCCCAAAACCCCATGTCTAATATAATTATTGAGGTCTAGTCTGTACTTATTTAGCTCGTGTTCATAAGATTTATGAATCATTTTCTTCGTCCCCTTCGGCATTTTCCTGGGTATCGAAAGCTTCCAAAATGACTTCAGACATCACAACTTGCTCCTCTATCAATTTTTGATGCTTCTTTTGTTTTTCAAGAGCATATTCTTGAACTTTCTCTGTGATTTTCTCCATGTTTTCAGGGCAGACCATCTGGGGTTGTCCTGTCGATGCGATAACTCTCTGCCAAGTTCTCTCATTCAGGTCCATCTTTCTCTTCGCAGAGTTGTTGATAGATTTAATAGGAATGATGGCAGTCGTATCCTTGACAGTACCAATCGAGAAGCCAGTGTATCCTGCCATGGCTGCATGAACTGAGTTCTGAGCAAGTTTCGTACAAATAATTGTATCTCCAGCATTTGCAGAAACAGATCTTATGGTGTAGGTTGGATCAATGTATTTCAAAGTTATATTGATGTCGTAGTTTTCTTTAGCATATGCAACTATTTTATTCTTCAGATAAGTTCCGATATCAGCATGCTTCACATGACCACCTGCATCTGCTTTGCCCTCTTTTGCGAGATTCGCATCAATAATTGCATCATCTGCTCCTTCAGCAACAACGATAGTGCAATGATTTTTAGAGATTATTCTTTGACAAACTGTCTCACAAAGCCCGTATTCACCTTCAACTTCAAATGGGGACTCTGGAATGAGACAGATATTGACATCTCTTGAAGCCTGAGCGGCTGCTGCTGCAATCTCTCCTGAATCTCGTCCCATAAGTTTTACCATTCCTACTCCAAACTCAGCACTTTCTGCTTCATTGTTGGCTCAAGAAATAATTTGTTCTGCAACAGCAACGGCTGTATCGAAGCCGAAAGACTTATCGATCAAAGGGATATCATTGTCGATGGTCTTAGGAATACCACAGATGGATATCCTTTCTTTGTTCTCAGTTGCATACTCGTATAACTTATAAATTCCTCGATGTGTTCCATCACCACCAATAATGTAAAGATGATTGATTCCTTTTTCTTTGCAGATGTCAATAATCACCTTCTCGTCGAACCCACCACGAGATGATCCAAGGAAGGTACCCCCTTCATTATGGATTCTCTTTACTATTTTAGGAGTGAGCTTGATTATGTTTGATGCTTTATGGAAACCTTGGTATCCCCATTTTACACCAAAGATATCCTTGACACCATAATTAAACCAGAGAGTCATGACTAATTCTCTGATGACCACATTTAGGCCTGGGCAAAGCCCTCCACAGGTGACGATAGCAGCTTTGACTTCTTTAGGGTTCCAGAAAATTTGTTTTCTAGGACCTGCTCTCAGGAATTTAAGTTCTCTTGCAATATCTTCATAGCATTGGTAAGATTTTCCAGAAAGTACAAATTTCTTAACTGAAGAGAATGCTTCATCTGGCAAGAATCCAGTTGTTCCCTTGCCTGCTATATCTCTTTGTGAAGCGTCTCCAAGAAGAGGGCTTGTATATACATCACAGTCATGGGTTTCTGCTAAGTGAGGGACTCTTGAAATAGCGACTTCGCTAAGATTTGTAAGGCCTTCAATAAATTTAGACGATCCTTCCTTTAATTTCTCGATTTTTCTCATAGTGAATGTTCTTTCCTTAGACAAATCTAAGCCTTCTCCGAGTGAATTCTTTCTGGGCTTCTTAGCTTCCTCAAGTGGAGCTTTGCTATCTGATTTCCTTCTTGTAGTGCTTTGTAACAAGTAGGAAAGGGCTGCTCCTGCAATAACGGCACCTGCAAGTTGTATCCATTGATTAGTTTGATTAGATTCACTCATGGTTAATTCAATTGATTATGAAAAACAGGGGTTTTGGGGTTTTGGGGTTTTGGGGTTTTGGGG